GATGAAATGTGAGAACCACGGAGTAAATAATTCGGTTGCAAAATATTCATCAATTTTCTAAGACTTTGTTGTTCATTAGTTTTCATACCATTCACTCATCTGTTATTTCAATATAAACTCTTCGCTATAGTCTGTAAATCCTTAACGACACGAAATTTCATTCTCACTCTAACACTTAACAGCAAATGTACAAGATCGAAATAAACTTTTAAACTTCAGGAAAGGTTGATCAAATACCAACTAAATGGCTTTGAATGAGATAGTGCGTTAGAGATTATCACTCAATGAACAAAAATAAATAAATTCTGAGTTAGTCAATAAACATCTGAACAGTACAACATCAAAACATGGTAAGTGAAGTGAAAGATAGATGATGAATTTCTCTGATAGTTAATGAAAGTGCTTATCAACATTTAATCGGTAATGATACATCATCAATGTAATCAATTAATATGCAAAGTCCTGTGCATGTATTTGGGTTCCTCTGGCAACTTCAAGATGTAAAAAGTAAGCAGTTATGGATCGATTCACAAGATAAGTTAAAATAACACATCTATCATTATAATATGGTTTTACATAAGTTGTGCACGATTCACATAATTGCTTTCATTTGAACTAAATTAACGGTTGACAGAAAGTGTTGAAGCATATCGGAATGAATATAGAATGATTTAGATTTGACAATAGTATAGCGTGTAACCATTTTGAAGCATGACGTTAGATTGCACGTATTGAAATGACGCATCTAAACTCCGTTGTTTATTATTTACTTTTCATTTTGATTTGCACGTAAAGAAACATCACAGATGGATTCAAAAATTCATCCACTCAGATTACAAACTAAATGTAATCATCCTTATGATGTGTATGTGAGAGATACATTTGGGTTGCTGAATGTGGGGATTAAGGAACAAAACAATTTTTGAAGCATGTTCTCCGATCCCGTGTTGACATTCAGAAATTCGGGAAGATATCAGCAACAGCTGCAAGGCATTTGGAAGTAGTTCACAAAATCAACTTTGAAGATGTAAAGTTTGAACGCATAAAAAATAAGGTTGGCAGCAAAGGCATTATACATAGAGGCTAGTCGAGTCACGATGGAAAGAACAGATAGAATACACTAAGTCAGGCACTGACAGATTCCTATCAACAAGTAAATCAATTTTGTTTCATACAAATAGTTCTCTTTATCATTTTGAAGAGAGCAAGAACAAAGATTCTAGCAGAATAGCATGAATTCATTTTATTTCGTAGGTTCTCTTCAGCTGCTTACAATCTGTGATATTTAAAAAATCATAATTGCATAATGGGTTTAAATTGCTTACTGAATATTGTAAATATATACAACATTGATTGTGACAACAGTTCAAAAGTGGGTTAGAAACAATTGATTACATAATGACCTAACCTATCAATGATCAAGTCACCGTATCATAAAGTCGCACGCTGGTTAGCAGTAAAACGAGAACCGGTTCGTCATAGATTAGCAACGTTTACGCTAAGAGATTCATGCCAGTTTGCTGATAGACTAAATAATACGAATTTTACCGACAAGTTCATGGTCTCTTTTGATGTAACATCCCTGTTCACCAATATACCACATTTTGAAACTATTGATATAATTTGTCACAATGATGATCTGCTACCTTTATCAGCCCCAGAATTCGAAAAACTATAACGCCATATATCGCCAAATCTATGGGAAGCCCACTAGGTCCAATTCTGGCAGATATTTTTATGGGGTATCTTAAAAACACGGTACTTAAGCAGGCAATTAGCGAAACAACGGAATACTACAGATATGTGGATGACACATTTATTTACTGTAACAATAAACAGCATGCGATCCGCCTGCTAAAACTTTTCAATAACGCTCACACTAGCATACCTTTCACTATGGAACACGAACAGAAGGACATGTTCCACTTTCTTGATATTGCCATAAAATGCAGGGGAGACAGGACAGTCCAACGTTCAGTTTATAGAAAAAGTAATTGAAATGGCCTGCACCTAAATTTTAATAGTATTTGTCCAATTAGTTACAAGAAGGCATTGGTTAAAACACTATTTTACAGGGTAGAAAAGATGCATACCACCGACAAACTTGAAGAAGAATTAATGAACGCAGAAAAATGTCTTAAAGACAACTTCTATACACAAAAGTTTATTACCAATATAAAAAGCCCAAAGAAAACAAGACCGAAATAACTACGGTCAATAAAAAAGCCAGTATATATAAATCTTAATTTTGAAGGTGATAACGTCGCACAAATAATCAACAGGAGACTGAGCACTGCTCTAGTCAGAACTTATCCGACTGCTAAACTTTTAACTCTCGATAAAGCAACATGTTCAATAACCCAATCATAGATTGACAAGCAACGCTTTCATGTTACCGCCAACTGTATTTATAAATGTACGTGTACCTGCCAAAGTAGCTTGTTGGGGCCGATACATCCTCAAACTCATATTTTGTAACTTTATCATATCGATTAAATTATCGATTAAATGTTTAAATATTTGAATGGCAGTCAGTTGATGAACTTATCGATTAAATTTTTAAATAGCAGACAATTGATGACTCATTGATTACTGTTTAAAAAATTTCCTATGACAAAATCGATATATATTTGTATAAATACGCTTGACTTGTATGCTTGATCTGATCTGCCTGACCTGACTTGGTATCTGCTGTTGCTTGTAGAATACACTTTCTACGCCTTATCAACACTTCTTGATCGAGTTAGCTGAGTCCAAGACAACGGACCGAAATAGTCTATTGAGTCTCTGAATCCTGAGCCTTCGTTCCGTTCCGAATAAGTCGAATCAGTAGTATCCTCAAGGTTAACGAACCTAACACAGCTACGTCGGCCGAACTGAAGGGAGAGCATATCTTAGATTTTTTGAACATGTTGCAAAAAATCCTATAACAAGGGAAAGAAAGACTCTAAACAGTGCAATCATGAAACATCTCCTTGATACAGGGCATCAGGTAGATACCTTACAATTTTTCAGGGTGATTAGTAAGCAGCCAAACTCCAGTCTTCTGAAGTTGGCTGAAGCCATTGCCATCAGGCGTCAAAAACCTGACCTATGTATTCAAAAGGAGACTGTGGTTAATCTTTCCTTGCCCTGGTGACAAATATTTCTTCACTGAACCTTAAAAATATTTTCTTTTTTCCGTTGCATCTATTACATCATTGATTTTATTTTATTTTTCAACTATCTTTCAAATTAATAATCTTTCAGCCGAATTCTACTCACTATATTCCTATCAATGTTTACTCATTATGTAATCAATTGTTTCTAACCCACTTTTGAACTGTTGTCACAATTAATGTTGTAGAATATTCTTTCACATTAGGTATATATTTACAATATTCTGTAAGCAATTGAAATCCATTATGTAATTATGATTTTTAAATATCACAGATTGTAAGCAGCTGAAGAGAACCTACGAAATAAAATGAATTCATGCTATTCTGCTAGAATCTTTGTTCTTGCTCTTTTCAAAATCAATTTTGTTTCTATCCCTCTATACAACTTGACGTCTGTTTCCGCCAAAATAAGTTCTGTGTTTCAACATCGATAGATGTTGGTATTCAACAATTTTTGACGCCAATTCCGAGGTGTCATTTTGAAAGTGTGCGCGTGTAATTTGATAGTTCGAATATGATTTATGCATAAAGCGTCGTGGCTGATCACTGCTAAAAATTATCACACTTAAACGAAACGGTTGTTCTAATGGGTTTTCGGTGTTGATCTCGTCATGATTGGCATGCGAATTGAAATATATGAAGTTTTGATTTGATCACTACACTGAAAGTGTTTATAAAAGCTTTCTCAACATAATGTGTTCATCACTCAACGTTCAATCACTTTGATCATTTCAAATGAAAGTTTTCAACTAAGTATATTCCTCATACTTGTTGCCAAATATCTGTCGAACGATCCGCTTAAATCAGCAAAGGGATTTGTGGAAATTGTAGTATTTCCACAGTTAAAATCACATGCATGATCGTGAAAGTGCTCTGTTGAGTAGTCTCACACTAGGAAAAAACTTCTGTCCAGTGCTTCCACGTTTTCAATGGTGGTGTAGCTTAGATTTACTAATGACTTCTACTGTGGGAATATTCGTTTCAATCTTGACGAATAATCACAGACATTACACTGGAAAACGCTGTAGTTTATTATTAACACCAGTTCCCGTTTTACTGATATTTTAGTATGTGAATCTAAATATCTGTTACGGCACATTGAATTCTCAAGTCGATACACAACTTTCAGAATAGAATTACTGAATTAACATTCAACAAAATATTAACAGGTTCAGTGGATGATGATTAGCATGGAGCAGTACGTATTTCAGAATTTCTGATTATTCGAATTTTTGTACAATTTGCGCTGAATATGATTTCAAGGAGTTTTGTTTTCAGTTAATTATTACAACGAAATATGCTGGCTCAGTGGATGACGACCAGCTTGCTAATGCTGTGAAAACCACGTAAGATTTGTACAACAACAAAAATTTAATTGAAAGTACGGTTTTGTTAAGCTAGAGTACACACAAGATGAGCCATGTGAAGTGCATTTATCGTGTCCTTTGTGGAAAATCAGTTGAGAGATTTATTTCAATAGAGACCTTTGATTATTCACACACTTCAAATCCATCGTGTTGATTTGTATGCAAACTTTTAGAAAAGAGTTCAAACAAGGACATGAGAAATATTTACTAGGACCTGTATTCATAATGAAAAAAATTGTGGGAGTTCACATGCATCATCTATTATAAATACATTCAGAAACGTAATACACGGTGGTTCACTGTGAAGTATACTAATGAAAATATACATATTTGTCCTCCTGTGCATTGTACTGTTGAAATCGGTGAATGGTAAACGTGACCAGCAAGTGGTCCAAGAACAACAGGTAAGTGATCAATGAGAATAGTGAACAAACCTCTGCTTCGGGAACATTATACTTATCCATAAACTTTACAGAAAAGATCGTTGACCAATAAACAGTTGCAAATCATCTTAGTTTATGATGAAGATTTAGAACAGAATCAAGCCTTTCCGAAAATAAAGGTAAGTCTTGTTTTTGATTATAGTTCAGTATTTGATGATGTGATAAGTTGGTAAGTTGGTTAAACGTTCGACATTTGGACAATAGTTAAATTAGAAAACCCTCTCGTTATTTAAGTGAATGGAAATAGAAAAACGTTCATGTATATGATCAGTATTACGGACAGTTCGCGATACGGTATTGACAGAACTGTTATGGACTTATTGTCGGTTTAATAGTATTGAGTCATAATCCTCATAGGAATATATAAGCTAGTAAAACTATGGTCGAACTAGGTATTAGTGCATTCATCTTTGTAATTCTAATAAAAGACATAATCCAGAAATTGTCGATTTTTCATGATCTGACTATCTAATCGATTAGATCATACGTGGAAGTCTCATCATTTTCTATACTGACACTTCGTGTCTTAAAAATCGGCAATATTATGTTCAATAATTTCGAAGAACGTATTAAGGGTAAAGTAGAATCATTTGTTCAACACAAAAGAGCAAAAGGTACACATTAACCGAGCCACTCCATCTTGATTGAGTGTTTCTAAGCTCATCATTTTCGAGCTAGTCTATTGTGCTGAATGTTGAGTGTAATCTCCCTAGTAATTTTATCTTCAGCTTCAAGGATCGCGTAATTGGGAACCAATAACACGACAATCTGTTGGAAAACGTAACAGTTTAAAAATTGAGAAAACAAACTTATACCGATATACGGTTTACAATACAGTTTTGTACATACCCTATATATACAAATATATAACTATCGTTCAGTTGGGGATTCTTGAAAATAGTTCACGAGACTTTGTAACACTCTCGTTACTATAATCATGGGTAATGGAGAGAAGTTATTTCGAATGGTAGGTACTTTATGTAGGATGATTTGTGGGGTAATCGCAATTTTCGAAAGTTTGTTCGACGAAGATTCACTGCTTTACTGTGTTGCGCAAATTAATTGCTTCAGGTTGCTAGAAAACTGATTCCAACATCCGACGAGAAGACTTATTGTAAATGCCTAACACCATAATTAACATGCACTTCACACTCAAATAATTGCTTAAGTGCAAATGGACGTAGAATGACGGTGAGCGGCCTATGCTCCTTCACGATATGTAACAGGCCTACGTAAATAAGTAAGTAAGTAAGAATTAACCGCAAATGTTAGGGAAATGAACTTTGGAAAGTCACATATTCTGAACCTACCTAGTTCATGACCATTGCGATCATGTATTTTGGTAATAAAATGTATAAACTATCCGCTTCTTTTTCTATCAGTGATTATTTGTGCATTGTTCTTGTCAACAGAAAGCTCTGCAGAGTGCTTCAAGTTATTGGGAGAAAACACTGAAGGTTAAGATAGACAGTGAGAAACCAGTGCACTTTCGAAGGTAAACAATAATTGTTAAGCTGATGTATTCAAAACGAACTACTTCGCTTTGAAAAGTTCTCTGACATATATATATATATATATAATCTTTGAAGTAATTTTAACTGAACAAATACCTATATCTAACATCATTGGTGGTCACGATCCTTGAACATTTCATGTAATATACTTTGTAGATAACTTCCTGTTCATATCATTCAACAAAGCGTTAAATGGGGAAAACAGTTTTATATAGTCTGTGAAATTTCACTTGTGACTGATTTCAATATGGTTTAAAGGAGGTTCAAAGAAAAAACACCACCATTAGAGTTCAACTCTATTGAGAATTCATGAACATATATTGACATATATATTCACTTTAAAGCTTTAACGCTAAAACAATTTGCCAATTTTTCACCATCTCTATTGCTTTCTTTATTCTTAACAAATTTCATGGTTTTAAAGAGAATGTACGAATGATGGACACTTGGTAGAAATGAAAAACAACAATCCATCATGTGTGGACTCTTACTGTAAACAAGATAGAGAAATTCAAGGTGTTAGAATTCCTAACAAATATTTGTCGGTAAGTGTAGCAGTAAATAAGATATGTTTGCATAACTTATGTAGACATACATTTTCGTTCTTAGTTGGTGAGGTGATTCGTCTGGTTAGTTCCGGTAACGAACGAGACTTTTAACTGCTAAATAATGAACTGTTCCTCTGTGTTTGTTTAGGGCGCGGCCTCTATTTCTGTTTTAAGGAGTAGTGTGGTTGTGATCCGTCAGGTGCGGTGCCAGCTTTCACTCCTCAGAAGGATAAGCGGCACATGTCAGTCACACGACATTGAACAAAAACAGGTCTCTAGTGCCCCCAGATATTCAGAGCCAGTGGTAGGTTGCACAGGCGGTGCCAGAGAGTCTTGAAACCTGGCTCGAAAGGGTTGAGCAAACTACTTCATCATCGTCGTGACTGAGATTCAGTCTGGCAACTGTTCCTCGTGAACGAGGCATTCCTAATAAGTGCAAGTCATGAGCTTGCGCTGACTATGTCCCTGCTTTTTTGTACACACTCCCCGTTTCTACTTCTGATTGAATGGCTTAGTGAGGTTGTTGGATTTATGTCGTTGCAGTGGCTTTGCCATGTAACTGACAAGATGACCTAATTTGACTATTTAGAGGACAAAAAAATTGTAACGAAGTTTCCGAAGGTGAAGCTGCATAAGGATCATTATCATGATCCAAGAATGTATAATATAGCGTGCATCTGGCTTTATGCTGGAATGCATGTACTCTGGTTTAGTTACATCTACCTTAGGCTTCAGCGGTTATTATGATATGTATGATATATTGTAAAAATCCTCATGATCACTTTGTATTTATTTGTAATGTTCACACACCAGATAAAGCAACGCACGTGAACCACAGATAGTTCCTTTTGGTTAAGCTTACGTGACAGGATTTCGAAATCCATTCTACGGAAACCAGTACACTCTGATAGAAGAAACCAGAGAAGTAGTGAATAGGTCTTTATTTCGATCTTAGCGCAGTCACAGTGGAGCGTCGGATTATCTGTTCAGACAAACAAAGGCTCTCAACATTCAATATAAGATAATAGGGAATATAACGCTTATGAAGAATAAGGAAGTGAATGAATACTTGAACAATACTGTTTTGGCATAAGCTTGGTTGTTTGGGGTCAACTCTTAACCAACCAACCTGAGCTGTTACAGATCCGTAAATCATAGTTCGCAATAAAAACATTGTCTACAAATTTACATTAAACTGACTGGAACGAAACCACATATTATGCTATACCGGTCATAATATTCTATTATATTTTTTCAGTCATGTTATCATCAAGGAAAAGAAAAATATGGAATAGTTTATTCACAAGGCACTGGATTAGCTCCCAATCAGTTATTGATAATTGTGGCGGACTCAAGTAGAACACAGAGTGATAAATGTACACATGTTAATGGTCAACTAGTTGACACCCATCCAAGTACTGGAAGGTAGGCTACATTTTTACTGGTGAAAATATTCAGTTTATTAGATATTTCGTGTTAAATGCAACGTGAGATTTTCTCCATTTCTAGTTATTTATATAAGTAAAATATAATGACGAAATTACATTTAGTTGATGATTGACCGTAGCACTTTTTATATTATCTATGTTGTTTCACTTTTTGTATGAATGACCAAAGAACTACACATTTTTTCTAGTATCTAATATGTATATTGACAAAAGAGTGTTTGTTCAAATTAACCGATGATACGATAAGATCACCAGAACAACTGTTCTAACGGATCGACTTCAAAGCCTAACATACTTGTCTAAAGATCTATAGGATTTTGAATTCCTCATGTTGTAACTGTTTATTTGCAACCAATATCGTGTAATAAATCAAATAATGCTGCGGTGCGATAAAGCGTTCTGAACATAGACAGCCTAAAATATTTTCAAGGGTTTTTGTGAGCAAGTCACCTACGGCACTGTCAATAAAGTTTATGATGGTGGAAATATTATGAATGTAGACTTTTCCTTAAGAGACTAACTGCTGTTTATTATGAAACCTTTATTGCTGAACAGCGGCTGACAACGTTCGACCTCATATCTATGTAGATATCATTTTGAAAGGGAGATTAGTTCATGTTATTTGATACAGGTTCGCCTTGTGTGTTGATGATTTCCACAGGTGATGAGAGCAACCAAACAGCACCAGAACAGAATATTATAATATCACAGTGCCATACGATGAACAAACAAGTACACCTCAATTATCTCGAATTAGTTGAACAATATCTCGAAATCCCCTCTGTGATCACGTTCACGGTGTTATCAACTGGATTCACTTAGGGCCGATAAAATATAAATTGTACATCAACAGATACAATGCTCAGAGTATTCCACACCTACTGTATATGTGTAGAACCAAGGTGTTTTCTTGCATTAGGATAAACCATTTGTCTCATGTTATATGTTGATGGATTGAGTATGCCGTTTCTGTAGTGTTGCGTTCACTTGGAATGACTATTTTATTTGGATGTAAGCACTTTTTCTGTATAATGTAGTTTTATTATATTCAGTGTGACTGTCTATCTTCACCTTTATCATACACATAACGTCCCTTTTCGGTACAATATATCGTGGAAAAATAATTAGTAATGAGCTGAAGCTTTATAAGTAATGTAATCCAATTCTTGTATTTAATTCTACAGGCCTATTTTGGGCGTATTGAATTATTGTCTGCCTGAGAAAGAATCAATCACAATATCCGATGACATACTGGTCAATGTGATGAAGCATGAAATGGCTCATATACTGGTAAGTTCTTTTCATTTTATGAAATATGGTCTCAGTATGTTGACATACGGACAATTTTTTTTCGTTCAGCATTTGGTTAGTTCGATGAGTAGTGCAGTTATTTAATTACTTTGGTCACAAATTCATTTTCCTTGTGATGTATCAGCTGTTACAATCTGTGCATTCGCGTTTGAACTTCTCACAATTAATTAATCATTACACAAGTTTCTCTGAACTAAATTAGCCAAATATGGGAATAATATCAAAAATATGTATTATTGTGATGCTCATGTAGATTGTACATTATGTATATGAACTTCGCACTGTGAGAAACACTTTAAATTGATGGAAAATTAAATTCAGTTGAATAGTGTACAGTCTAGCAGTAAAGACAGAAGATACTAAGCGATTTCTATATGGTGTACTATAAAATGTAGATATGATGATTTAATGTATAAAACAATGTTTGAATTCACTGCAAAATCGAAATACCATAAAATTATCAGTATGGATTGTGAAGATTATTACATTATTGGTTGAGATTATGAACTGGTCGATGTTGGATACCAGCTCAGTGGTTTAGAGGTTAAGCATTCGCTCGCGGGTTCGAAGACCTCGGGTCGGAATCCCGAGAACGAGATGGTGGATGTGCAATGCTGGGGAAACCAACAATTAGAAGAAACGGTCGTCCAGTAGTTCCAGGTTTTCAGTTGTGGTCCAACATCAATCGGTCAACGATCTGAATCAAACAGTATAAAACTGATGTTCTTAAAACAAGTGTTGTGTTTTAAATAAACATTTTAATCGTTGAGTACAAAATGAGTAGGAAATTAGATCACATTAATTTCTTCTTTTCTTCATAAGGGATTTCATCCTTCAATTTTTGAGTCGCAAAAGATGAAATCAGTGAAAATTCCGTGAGTAATAATTAACAAGTTGTAAACTGTTGTTTTTATTATCTGTATGTATGTGTTTATAATTTTAAAGGAGCATACATATTTTGTTGGTTGAAAATTGAAATTCGCAGTTCGAAACGTAAAGGAAATGCAAGCGTACTATGGGAACCCGTGTTTCTGTATACAGATGAGCTTTGGGAACAAGCGTTCATTCACATATCAATCCTATTGTTCCCTATCAAAGATATCAGTAGTTGATTATTGCTTAGAGCAATAATCAGGCTAGATTGTCGCGTGGGAATATTTAAGCATCAAAACTAGAGCAAAAAGGCATGTTATTCCATCCATTTCTCAATTGGAATGTTCAAATTAATTACGTAAATATTACACAGTGTCTGTTAAAACTAAAAACTATTTTCTGATCATTATAAACAAACAATAATTGAACGATGAACGTATATACACGGTTTGACTTTGCAGATTCTGCTTCTCACAACTCCGTCTGAGAGATGGCTGTGATAAAAAACCAAATACGAATGAAGCTAGACGAACATACTTCAGGCACTGGTTTACTCAGACAGAAATCAGTGTGATAGCATTCTAAATTCCTTTGATAAAGGTATGATAAAACATAAGCTAATGACGTGTGATTTATAAAGTACTAAACAGTAACAGTTATAGGCGGATAGCTCACAAAGTCAAAACGTGTGGGTCCAATGTATAAGCAAGAATAAACTACATGGTTTGCCGAAAAGCCAGAATAATCAATATGGAAGTGACAGGGTAACAGATCATATAAAATATACGTTTCTAATTAGCCGATACGTGCAATTTATTTCTAGACTTTAGAAGTTTGTTTTGAGTGGAGTAACTAACGTTTAAAAAAGGTTCAATCTACATCACTGTATGTTTGTGTTCCAATCCCTAGATCTGTTCAAAACATAACGCTATCTTGGCTATCAACTAAAGGAACCTACAAAATACAAAAGAAAATTCTCAGTCTACCAAAGATGCTGGTAAGTTGCATATTTACTTCGTTTAAACAGAGAATCATTTCTACTAAACTGCATCATGTCAACATCTGAAACGTAAATACTACCAATGATCGTCATTCTCAATGAATACTTGAATATGACAATTTGGGATAATGTTTTACTCTATTTGATGGATTCCTTTACTTTACTTTTCTTCACATTCTCTGTGACTTGAAATTTCACTTAGTCGAACTAAATCCAAAGAATTCTAGGTGACATGCATAAACATAGATCTCACAAGTAATATATATATATATATATATACATGTAAGCGAACAATTGTTTTCTAGATTTGTGAAGAGGTTTTATATAAGTCATTGTCATTGATTCAACTGGAATTCGGTGATAACGAAATTGATTGGAAAGTGTAGCAGTAGTTTGTTGAGAACGGATGGAATATAGCCGGAAGTGGAATCCAGTGCAAGCATTTGCCAATCCAGACTGATCCGAATGCAGTGAAAATGACCATAGCATTATAATTCGCACTCATGTCAATACAGTTAGAGTTAAGTAGTTGGTTTGTGGTGAATATTCAATCCAAAAACAACACGAATATTTCTAAATCACGCATCTGAACCAGATTCATCCGCAACTCGCTTCTTTCTTATGCCTCTTGTTTTAATGCATCAATTACTAACTTGAGTTTACATTATGAGGATTTTCGTTTATTATTAATTGACCTTTTATTGATAACGCCTAATTACACTTCACATCGTTTATCTTAATGAAGAAGGAAGCAAGAGAACATTTCGAGTGCAGCCAACTACAAGGAATCGAGCTGGATGAAAACCATTTGAGTCACAGAGTAATGGGAGTGAGTTTGCTTATACCATAGATTTTTGAAGTTAGTTATTCATTCAGCAGAATAATCTGTCCTCTGAATACTGTTCATGTAGAACATGTTTGATTTTCCATATACAGAAAATGTTTGTATGCACACTGTTGTTTGAGTATGTAGAGAAGTAAAACATAACAAGTATCAACGTTGTTCTGAGTGCATAAAATGAAAGATAGTTTAACATGTAACATTGAAGTAGAAAACAAGTTAGACATTCACACATTTCGTATGATGCTTCATAGATTGTTTGCAACATTTTTAAGTTTTTCAACACACTCGACTTAGCATTACGTAAATCAGATGTCACAAATAGGTAGTAAAGCATCGTAAAATGAGAAATGCTCCCAGCCTGATAAGTAATAACTTAGCATGTATTCGAAGCAATTCTTGTTGTCAAGTCAGAATAAAACCAACTGTAGTATCTATAAATGCATCAACACATGAATACCGTAAATCACTGAGGATTTTGTTAATGCAATTTATTTTCAAAATACAATTAAAAGCGTCAATATTTAAACAGCTTTTGGTACTGAATAGAAGCAGCACATAAAGATAAAACCATACACGTTTTGTAAATAAATAAATGACCGATAGGACGGCAGTTTTGAACGATATAGCAGTAATCCTATGTAAAAGTTAACCTCGAGTGTTTAGTTTTCATAGTGAGATTTGAATCGTGATATGAAAGAACCACAATCATATAAGTTCCATACTGATTTATTCCTAATGTTTCAATGTCATCTCACTTTCATCAGAATGATTTGATGACACCTTATCTATTGGAGTCAAACCGTGTGTCAAGAATAACTCTGGCGTATTTCGAGGATATAAAGTAAGTGTTACATGTTGAAATATGAGAATAATTAAATCGTGGTAATCTTCACAAATGTTTACATGAAAGATACCTGATTCAATGTAGCAGATAAGACGTACTAAAACGACTTATTCACTCCTGCACCGGTCATCCTTGGAAACTTAATCAATATAAACTGTGCGTGAATGCAAAATAAACCGTAGAACATAACTCTGTCTACCAAAGACAACTACAGCCAATTTTGAATTTACGAATGTGCAACAATGCGTGACCCTTAGCTATTGACTGGATTTCATAACTGGTTTTGCAGTGTGAAACAAATTTCACACACTGTAATACTGTACTGTGACAAAAAGAGATACGTTGTTTATGTTCACGATAAATGCGACGAATCTAAGTGGGACAACTCGCTTTCGCTTGATAATTCTCATATGTGAACTTAAATTGTACGCATATCATCTCAGAGGCACAGTATAAAGCAATTAGAAGTGACATGTGGACATTAGAGGTTTGAAAATATCGACACTATTCTTTTGTCGACCAAGATTTCGATATTCTTCTTGTTTCCATTAAAGCATAGATAAAGGCTGACAATAATATGGAACTAACAATAACCAAACGCTTTCCAACCTGCACTTGTTGTTCGTTCTGCGGTCGCGACTGTAATCGACTTTCAAAAATTATTTTCATTGAACTGACATAGTTTTGTAAAAAAGCTCCCTTGATGTTACTGTCTTAATTTAGAATCGAAAAGCCACAATTTGTGGTGGTCCATGGGTCTACACAAGACAGGGCACCTCAAGCACTGTTTGTAGTAAACGTATTTAAGATATTTACAACGATGTTACAGTATCTGTAATATTGTTTCTTTGGACAATGTTTACAGTACCAACGATATAGAACATTTAACCAAATAATGAAATTATCTGAATTTCAAACGCTAACATCATTTCAAATATAATTTTTACATATGACGCATTCTCTGTATTCGGCACCCATTTTTCGTCAAACTATTCGTTCTAATGTTAGTGAATATTCGTATGATTAGTTAATTGCTCTCATGCTGTAATGTGATAATATTCCAAAAAAAATTGATGTACTATTCAAAGTCTTTGATATTTGGGTATACTTCATCACGTGTGACAATGACGAAGCAATGATCTGTTTTGGTTGAAACTTCTATTCTCAAAAGCTAATCGCAATTACATTTGTATAGTTTCAGAAGGTCGGATCATCAAAAAGCGAATTTTCTGAGCTGTTATTTATTCCAACTCTTTGATGACTCAATAGGTTTCTATCGTGGATTGGTCAATAAATGTCTGAAAAATATAGTACTAACGGTAATAAGGGAACCGACGAATACTTCAACTTGTACAGTGTAGAGTACCATTATATTACGGTCAAGCCATAAAGCGATACTTCCATATTTGAATAATTTTCTCTAAATACCTTTCAAGTTTGAAATTGCAGTCTTCACGTCCTCTGACCTCACAACCTGTATTGAAAAATAAAAGAGAAA